TATTATTATAATTTTATTAAAAATAAATAACATATATTCTTTATATATTGGAGTGGTGTAATTATCAAAACAACAGGAGAGGCAAGTGACCCTCCTGTCACTGGCTGGCTCCGCCTCTGCAACGGAGTTATTTGAGGGATTTGGGACCAACAAGGACCGTGCTAGGGAGCTCGAAAACGAGCTCTCCCGAATCCCCCTAATTTCTATTTTTTTTTCAAAAGCAGAGGAGTAAAAGAGAATGAGAAGAGGAGGAAGGAGGAAGGAGGAAGGAGGAGGAGGAGGAGGAGTGGACTGGAGGGGGCCATAACAGTGGGAGGAGGCGGAGGCAGAGGCGACGGCGGAGCTGCTACTGCGACGATCGGACCTAGGCGACGGCGGCGACGGGCTGGGCAATCGACGGCGACTGGCTGGGCGATGATCTCTTCCCCTCTTCTTCTCTCTTTCTCTTTCTCTCCCTCTCCCTCTTCTGCGTTGCAGGTCGAAAATGGAAGAAGGAAAAAAAAAAAAAAAAAGAGAATGGCCAAAACGACATCGTTTTGGCCATTAGGGGGATTCGAGGAGAAGAATTTCGGGGAACAAATCATTTTCCCCACCAAAATATATTTTTAAATTTTGTTTGTGTGTTAACGTTGTTCTTGTTTTTTTTATATCTTTTTTTAATAAAAAATGGGTTTGGGACCAATAAGAATTTGATGGAATTTTAAGGTTTGTTTTAGAAGTGAGTGGGTTGATTTTTTAGTTTTTTAGTTTTTTTTTAACTATTTTAGTTTGGCGTTAAAAAGTTTGATTTGGGAAGAACTTTTGATTTTTTTGTAAGAAAAAGAATATAATGATTATTGATTAGATGTGATATTTTGTCTTATTGAACTAACAAGCTTATTTTATTTTTTGTGGTTAAAATAGTCAAAAAAGTCTCCAGTTAGACTTCCCAAACGAAGTATTCACCTAAAAAATTATATATAAATAAATGATAAAATACAAGTGTGTAACATAAGCCTTCATATTGACCATTTTTTTTAGGGATACGCTGTATTCATATTGGATATTTATATCATTCATATTATCCCTATACAAAAAATAAGTTGATCAAATATTAGATCACATTTATCATAAAAAATAAAGAGAAAATTATTATCCGGTGAGGGCAAAACTTTCTCATTGATTTGTAAGTACTTTTCTTTGCCCCCACTGGGCAGTAATTCCTCCCAAAACAAATAATCATTCTCATAATCACATTTGCTGTATATTTTTGTAACAATCAAACATTTTACTATTTTTATACATTTCAAAACATCTTTTCATCAAACAATTTAAATGTGAACCCTATATTTTAGGAATATTTTGGAAAGTTAGTAAAAAGTTGACTTTTGACTTTTTACCAAACTTTTTAGCTTTTTGAAAAGTGATTTCGAAAGTTGGTAAAAAGTTGACTTTTGATTTTTTTAGTTTAATATTTGTTTATGGTGTCAAATCAAATTAAAATGACCAAAATATCCTAACCCAACATAAGAAATTTATTTTTTTATTTTTTTGTCATAGGCCCTAATTTGTAATTTTACACTTGCGTTTTTGGCACTTCCCAAACCAATTTTGTTGCGTTTTTGGCACTTGCATTTTTGGACATTTTGTTGAAAAACATGGTTTTTTATTTTGTTCCCAAAACGGCACTGTAGTAATCTTTTCTCATACAGATTCATAGAATCACTCGGTCATCTCAGTGATTTCCCACCGGCTAAATACCCCTTAGGATTAGTCCTGACTTCCCTAAAAATTGGAGGGTTGGAGATACCTGAGTTATCAAAAAAAAGGTCATCTCAGTGATATGAAAGAAAAAGTGTTTTTTGTTTCTTCATTTTTAATTTTTAGTGTTTTTTAGCAAAACAAAAGGACTATTTGGAAGCGTCATGTTCTCATCGATTTGAATCTACACAGTCGCAGCCCCAACCAACTTTATTTTTGTTTGATGAGGTACACAGGACTTCCCATTCTCACACACACACATACACAAAATTGTTACGACTGTTAGTTGCTGTTCTTTCTTTTCTCCCTCTCCAGCAAGAACGGTGGATAGAGAATCATAGAATTTTACTTAGCAAGTAATTCCCCTAATTAACCAATAAAAGCTACCAAGGATTCTCACTTATGGATGCGAGTTGCAGTAGTAGGGAAAATTTCTCTCTTGAACCTCTCTCGGTGGTGCACCTTATTTTGTACCTTTAATTTTGTATTTTTAATGAATTTTTACTTTGCCGATCAAAAAAAAAAAAAATTATCTTTTATTATCAAATTTCTTATCACTATCTTAAAAAATTAGAAGTCTTTTAAGAAAATATATTAATCATATCAAAATATTATAAAATTTATTACCAAAATGATGTGGCAACAAGATTCGCTTTAAGGTTAAGTCTTTAGATTATAAAGTCTTGTTTTCATGTAGTATTTTCATCACTAACCGTTAAAAATTTGGATGAAAAATGTGCATCACGTGAGCACAGTTTAAAGGCATTATAGGAAAATATTTGTATCACAAATTATACTTTTTATAGTTCAATTTTCACTAAAATTTGATTTTGATTTCTTATATTTTAACTTTCACGCAAATTTTAAACCGTGAAATAATGAGAAAACCACGTTCAAACATAGATTACAGTTTGAGAACTTGATTATTTCACTTAGAAGACGAGGGAGTAAAATGAAAATTCAAGCATGAAAAGTATGATATACCCATTTTAAAATGACAAGTCTTAATTCAGTCATGTTATTCAATATATAAATTAAGAATATATTTTTTTTATTTGTGTATCATTACTTTTTTTTGATAAATTACAAATATATCTACTAAGATTTACTTAAAATATGAATTATTCCATGTGATTTTGAAAATTACATCACGCCTCTTCAAGTTTCTAATTTTATAACAAATAATTCAATTTATTAATAAATCATTAAGTCAATTAATAATTTTTAAGGATGTGATAAATATATTTCAATTAATAATTCAAATAATTTTATTATTATATAGGAGAGTAGTTAGGAATTTCATTTTTTTGGTTAATTTTGTTAAATAAAAAATTCTAATAAGAAAATATTTGTAATTTTTTAAATTATGAAAGCCAATCCATATTATAAGAACACTTTAAAAGTGTATTTGTAATTTACCTTTCTTTTTTTTCAATCATGCAAGAGTCTTAGGATATAATACAAGGATTATGGCCCCATTTGTTTTCAGAAGTAGAATGAAGGGGATTGATAGTAAAAGGATTAGTAAAATTGTATTTGTTTTGATGATAGTTGTTAGTGTGGTGATTGTTAAATTATTTTTTATATAAAATAATAAAACAAATAAAATTATAATTTTTACTTAACAAAAAATACAAAAACATTAAACATTAATGTTTAAAAAAAATACCCAACAAGTAAAAAAAAAAAATTTACAGTTGACCGGCCAAACTTCCGAGCGGACGTCTGGTAACATCCAATTCGAACGGACTACTTCGCTAATATCCTCTCCCAGCCCAGACTGTTAATTTGTTGCCCAAGGCCTATCCTAAACCAAAGGGACTACGGATCAGAAATTCAAAACAAACCTAAGCTAATTTTACTGTTCATTACTATCACTCCGGAGTGTACTGCTAGTACAAAAAACAAACGGGGCCTATGAGTTGAAAATTGAGAATCTTCCGTTTATTTATTTTATTTTATTTTATTTTTGATTGGTGAAACATGACTTTTCTTTTGGTATTGAATCTTTAGGAGAATCATAGAGGCCAATTAAATTAGGTCAAATTGGTTTTATTTTATTTTTTTTTTGACATTTATACACAAATCTTAATTTATGAACTTATACTCTATTAAGTCTTAATTAAAATTTTTTAAATGTTCAAGTTCCATTAAATTTTGAATAGTCGAAATTATCCTTTAAATAATAATTGTTCATCATTTATGATTATTTATAGAGGAACATGCTGATTTGATATTTATTTTGATTTTTAAAACTTTAAATCATTAACTTTCAAATTGAAAAAACTAAAAAAAAATTATGTGCACAAAAAAAAAAACTAATTTTTTATGAAAAAATTGAAGAACTAAATTTTTTATGAAAAAATTGAAGAACTAAATTTTTTTTTTGGTACAAAATTGAAAATTTTATATCTATAAAAGAGCATGATGATAGAATATTGATGTACAAACTAGGAAAAAAAACTTTTTAAAATGAAAAACTGATAATATTTTCAGTTTTAAAAATGAAAAAAAACTGATAATATTCTCGATTTTATTAGATAGTTAAATCAAATCAATAAGTAGAAAGGCAAAAACGCTTAATCTCATGCTCTGTTTTTTTTTCCATCAGTTTGTGAAACAATTATCTAGAATATTATAGCCTCTGTTTGGGAAGAGGCTTTTTTGACTAAAATAGTCACAAAAGACAAAATAGACTATTTTAGCCACAACAAACAAAACATCACATTCAACCCATAATCATTACACTCTTCTCTCACAAAAAAAGTCAAAAAGTCATTCCCAAACCAAACTTTTTAGCCCAGACTAAAATAGCCAAAAAAGTCAAAAAGCCAACCCACTTCCCAAACAAAGCCATGTAAAATTGATAATATTCTTAATTTTAAAAATTAAAAAAAATTTGATAATATTCTCAATTTTATTATATAGAACTTATTGATTCAAAAAATCTTAAATATAATGAATTACCATAACATTTATAAACAAGACTTTAAGAAATTAATTTTTTTTAAAATTTTATTTAAATTATAGGCAAAAAATTGAGCCCTAGCCCTCGATATATTGAGAGCAAGGATCTTCTAGAGTGATTTTTTCTTAAAATTTCCTAAAGTGCTACATTGTATGGTTGAGATTTACTGGCAAGTCACATGATGTGACTTGCCAATAAATCTCAACTACACAATATAACCTTCTAAAAAACTTTAAAAAAATTTCACTCTAGAGGATCCTTGGTAATATATTGAGCTCTCGCTGTCTCGTTCCTCAAACAACAAACTTCTTGGTCTCTCTCTGTCTCTCTCTTGCAGACCACAGAGCTTTGTTCTCCTTCCCTCTCCCATCAAACACACATCTAGTTCTCTCTCTCTCTCTCATGGCACCAAGGAATGTGAATAATGGAGCTGGTAGGAAAGTTTATAACAAAGGAGCATGGACATCTGAAGAGGATAGAAAACTGACTCAGTATATTGAAGTCCATGGTGCCAAGAAATGGAAGACGGTAGCAACCAAGTCAGGTTTATATCTTCATCATCTACATTTTATTTTTATTTTTACATTCAATAACATAATGTTACGTATTCAAAAAAAATATTTGGAAAAGTGTTTCAGAATGAGATAGTTGACACAGGTTTTCTTGTTGTTGTAGGTTTGAATCGATGTGGGAAGAGCTGTAGATTGAGATGGTTGAACTATCTAAGACCAAACATCAAGAGAGGCAACATATCTGATGAAGAAGAGGACTTGATTGTTAGGCTTCATAAGCTATTGGGAAACAGGTTAGTATCAATGTTTCATTTGTTTGAAAAAGTTTTATCTTAAATTAAAAAAAACGATAGACGTTTTGTAAGACGAAAACGAAAATTAACAGAAAGTATTTTTATAGAAAAAGAAAAGAAACTCATTTGGAAGCAGAAAAGTTTTTTACTTTTGAAATGTGAAAAACATTTTTCGAAACTGAAGTCTTAATAATGCCCGCTAATTCCACTATTGCCATCAGCTTCTGTCCTAAACGGTTCTAATTTAATTACCTTCCAATACTCTAGATATAAAAACATGAATTGTTAGGATAACAATTTAGGAGTTGAATACATTAGCTAGAAAGCTTAGGAATATCGGTATTTGATAGAAAGCCTAAGTAGCCAAGAAGAAGAAAAAAAAAAAAAAAAAAAAAAGGTTATTTTAGTCACAAAAAATAAAATATCACATCCATCTCATAATCATTATATTTTTCTTTCACAAAAAAAGTCAAAAAAGCTAAAAAGTCAAAAAGTTCTTTTCAAATCAAATTTTTTAACCCAGATTAAAATAGTTAAAAAAGTCAAAAAATCAACTCACTTTCCAAACGGAGGCTGAGTGGGCCTACCATATTCAATCATGTGGACTGATCAAAATCCTAGTGATTTGAACATCAACAATGATCCATCCCACTAAAAATACCACCACTAATAGCATTAATGCATTAAAAAAGTAAAAAAAAAAAAATACAATTTCAAGACCAAAACATCACATCATTAATGACGGAACCCACTACCACCTAATTAGTGGGAACACTAATTAGTGCTCCAAGCATTTTTCTTTGAACATACACATTAAAAGACATACACAAATTTTGAACATACACATTAAAAGACATGTTTAATAGTAACCTGATATAGGAGTGTTTTGAGGAGTTGGTAAAAAATTAATTTTTTGATTATTTTAGTTTATTTTGTTTTTTTGTGAGTAAGTTATGTGAAAAGTAATGTGAGCTAAAATTGATAAAAAAAATTAGAAGCTGATTTTTTACTAACTTACCAAAAGAGGCCATATTTAGGCTTCGTTTGGTATGGAGAGATTGGATTAAAATAATTATAAAAAAATAAAATAAATTAAAAAATTAATAAAATAAAATGTCATATTCCAATCATAATTTTTTCATTTTTTCTCACAAAAATCATAAAAATCATTTTAAACGAGACCTTTTAATCCCAAACTAAAATAATTAAAAAATCAAAAAAATAACCCACGTCCCAGATGATGACTTAAAAAAATAAGACTTATCATTCACGAACAGCCAAATAATGGCTTGGAGTGATTCCTCTCAACAACTTAATATATCTACTTCTTTTAACTAAATAGAAACTTGTGAGCACTTTGTAGTGACAATGTGAGTTTAATTCTATTTACTACTGAAATAAGGTGAGCATTATTCAACCTTGAATTGAGATCTTACCGAGTTTCAAAATGTATTTAAATTTAGTTTGTTAATTTTTTTAACCCATTTCAAAAAAACTTAAAATTGAGCCGAGCATGAGTAATTTGATCATTTATACTGACTTCGTTTGGAAACAGACTATTTTAGTAATTTTTTGATTTTTTAGCTAAAATATGAGGCAAAAAAAATTAATATGTTTTGAATGAATTTTTGAATTTTTATTAAAAAATGTGCAAAAATGAAGAGAAAATAGAATTTTTGAATTTTTTTGAAGGGGGATTGGTAAGGAGGATGTAGAGATGGTATTAGAAAAATAATGAGGGGATTAGAAATTTTTTTATTTTTTATATATTGGGAATTTTTTTTAAATATAATGTTTAATTTTTTTATATTTTTTTATTTGTTTTATTATTTTATATAAAAATAATTTAACAATTCCGCACTATCAATCTCCTCACTAATAATCCCCTCACTAATAATCCCCTCACTATCAATTCCCTCCATTCTATCTCTCAAAACAAACGGAGCCTAAAAGTGTTGCATGTCAAGCGAGTTAGGACTGTAATCGAGCCAATCAGAATAGTAAAGTGTTCAAGATTAACTTCAAAATTTAACAAGTTTTTAACCAACTAAACAAAAGCCAAAATATTTAGATTTGTTTTGCAGCCTTAATTGTGAGATTATAAAGCAAAGCTAAAAAAAGAATAGAATTGGCTTATTTTGTGTTTATTAGGTGGTCATTGATTGCGGGAAGACTTCCAGGAAGAACAGACAATGAGATCAAGAACTACTGGAATTCTCATTTGAACAAGAAAATAAATAAAGGAAAAACAACATCAACTTCAACAGCACAAGAGAGAACAACCCCAGAAGCCGCCGCCGGCGTCTCTGAGGTAGAGAGAGAAGGCGGGGGAGGGAGTAGGAATCCAGAAGTTACCTTCAATGTGAATGAATTCTTTGATTTCTCAACAGAAGGTACCAATGGGTTGGAATGGGTGAATAAATTTCTTGAACTAGATGATGGCCAGTGGATTTCTGAGAAAAGGTAAGGTTTTGTAAAATGTAAGAAGTTTGTGAAGTTGGCGTAAAATTTTTTCTATAATTTTGAATAATATTTTTATTTTTCAGTAAATTTGAATAAACTTGTGATTTGAGACATTTCTATGCTACTGAATTTTTTACCGTCTACCATGTGAGGGACAGTAAAAAATCCAATGGTCGAGACAACGTTGAATAATAATATATAAATTTTAAAAAAAAAGTACCATTCTAAACATAACCGTTTGAGATTCAGCAGCACTATCATTCCAAATATATATATATATATACACTTAAAAAATACTCAAAATTTCATATCAATAGTCAAGATTTACTTAATAATGAACCCACATTAGAAACTTGAAATATGAACAATTCATTGAAAAATTTGAAACAATTTCTCGGTATTTTTTCTGATTCGTAAACTTCTACTGTTTGAGATTTGTTTGTGAATAAATTTTCTTAGAACTCAGCTTGAACCAAAAGCTAGTTGAATTAGGCCTCGTTTGGGAACAGGCTAATTTAGTAACTTTTTAGTTATTTGGCTAAAATATGAGCTAAAAAAAACTAGTATGTTTGGGATGACTTTTTGGCTTTTTACGAAAAGATGTGCTAAAATATGAGCTAAAAAAAACTAGTATGTTTGGGATGACTTTTTGGCTTTTTACGAAAAGATGTGCAAAAAGTAGAGAGAAAAGAGAATCTTTGACTTTTTGGTATGGGTTGTTGGCTTTTTGGCTAATTTAGTAACTTTTTGACTTTTTGACTAAAAAAGATGGTTCCCAAACGAGGCCTAAGGCATGTTTGGTACAGTCCCTCTCTGTCTCTCTTTTTTTCTTTTTTTTTTTAAATTTAAAGTTGATAAATTAAAAATATTTATTTCTTAGCTTTCAATTTTTTAAAAATATTTAATCTTATAAATTATAAATAAAAACTATATTAAACACCGGAGTGAAACAAATTCTTTAAAAAAAATTATAAACAATCTTTATAAAATACACCAAACGAATCAACTCTAGATCTTGCCCACCAACCCAATTTATTTATTGACGGAACTTTTTGGATTTGATTAAATTAACTTGACATTTTTTTAGGGTTGAATAGAATTACGAAGTTAGCAAGAACCTAAGCGAAGTCAGCAAGAAACTAAGCAAAGTCATTGGAACATGACATATTGTATTGACATTTGCAGCACCCTCATTCAGCTCCAATAATGTCAATATGAAGAGTATCCAAGGAAATTAGGGAAATTTTATTTTTATATATTTAATTATCTCAATGAACATATTTAATGAAATATTATTTTAATGGCAATTATACCTTAAATTAAAATAACTATAATGGGCATCTACTAACACTCATAATATTATATGAAAATATTCTCTATACATATTTTTTAAAAATAAAAAAATCTCAATCTACACCTTTTGAGTAAAAAAAAAACTAAATCCTAATTTTTTCATTCTTGTCACTTTGCTTACTACATACACTCTATATTCCTCTATTACTTACAAATCAATACTCTTATATTGTTTTAAACTCTAAATTTATACTTTATTAGTGATGAAAATGTTAGTTTTTTCGTGTAAATTTTTTTTTCCTTTTTGCAATTTTCAGTCGGACAACCAGTACCGAATTATTTCATTATATTCGGACATCAACTACCGAATTATTCATTATATTCGGATATCAACTGCTAAAAGTTTTTTTTAAAATTTTTTTCGAAACAAATTTGTCGAACTAATTACTTTTATTCGGAAGTTAAGTTTTGAATTAAATTTTTAATTTTGGAAAAACCAGTGTCGAAATCTCCCAACTAAAAAACATAATTAAAAAAAAAAAATTGTGGAAAGAAGGGTTGAGTAGTGTGTGTAGAATGATTATGAGTGAAGGGTATAATTGAAACTTTTAATATGTGGATTGAGAAAATTAATAAGTAATCAAATTAATAAGTGTGTGTACTGAGAGAAGATGCATACTGAGATAATTAAGTATATGGAAATAGAATTTCTCAAGAAATTCTCATGAGATAAAAATATTATGGCCCCGCTTGGAAACAAAGTTAAAAGCTATTTTTTGGTTTTTTAATTTATTTTAGGTCATATCACCCTTTTATTTTTTTACACATTTTTTAAAAAAAGTCAAAAAAAATCAAAAAGTTAATTTTTAACAAACTTTCCAAAATAATCCTCTATGTTAAAAATTGATAATTATAAATTATAAATATCTTGCTTTTATCTTTATAATTAATTTAAACTATCTTGTGCATTATAAATAAAAATTACATCAAATATTTTGATAATATTTGTCCCCAAAAAAAATTATAAAAAATTTACCGATCAAATGGGCTCATTGCGAGGTATTGTGACGGTGACACACCTCTCCCGTGAAGACGTGGGATTGTGGGGGTGATTTGAGAATTTGATTAAAAGTTAATTTTTTATTTTTTTTAGGGAAAATTGGTCTAGGGTCCCTCTCCCACTTTTCATAATGGGAGAGATCCACAAAATTATTTTTTGATGTCTAAGGTCCCTAAACATATCACAGAGAAATTTGACCTTACCAAATCAAAACTCATCTCTCACTTTCTCTCTCTAAACTTCTCTATTCTCATACCTGTCCAGATCAACTCTTGTGTCCTCAGCTCTGACTTCATTCTCCAACCGATTGAACTCCACCTTCACCGGATCCGACCTTCAATGGCGTCGCCGAGCCGTCTGAGGAGCGGCGATCCAGAGGCGTTGGGTTACAAGATTAATTTAATAAAATAATTATTTAACCCACCCAATAGTTACAACACTATTTAGGCTCCGTTTGGGAAGATAGATTGTGGGTTTTTTTTGACTATTTTAGTCATAAAAGACAAAATAGGCTATTTTAGCCACAACAAACAAAACATCACATTCAACTCATAATCATTATACTCTTTTCTCACAAAAAAATTTAAAAAGTCAAAAAACTAAAAAGTTCTTTTCAAACCAAACTTTTTAACTCAAGCTAAAATAATAAAAAAAATTAAAAAATTAAAAAACCAACTCACTACCCAAATCAACCCTTAATAAAACAAGCTCTACCTGTACCTACTAAAAAAGAATCCCAAGAATTTATGATGACATGACAAGGTAGTGGTTGGGCATTTTATCGAACATTCATATCATAGATTAATCAATACATTGTTTAAAGAAAAAAAAAACGCGTGGGGCTCTCTATGAACTACATTGATATGACAATTCAATAGTATTTAGATACACTTCTTGGTGGACTATTCCGCGATGAATCAGGTCATGGATTAGTGGATATTACGGCAGATTTGAAATATGTACTATACCTGAAGTCGAATTTTGGGCCGTCTATAAAAGGCTTACCATCATATTTTAAAGAGGATTTAATCAAGTGATTCTAGAAATAGGTGCGAAGCAAGTAATTCAATTGCTGAGTGAAGATTTAGGAGAGAGATGTCCTTTTCGGGGCATTGTGGAAGATGCTCGTATTATTATGTGTGATTGTGACTGCACCATCCAACATATTAGAAGGGAAGCCAACGTTTGTGCTGATGCCATGGCTAAGCTAGGTGAATATCAACCAGCGGAGTTGCTTATTGTTCAAGACCCACCTGCAGAACTTCGGCCTTTGTTAGTCGAGGACATTGTTCACCTCTCTAAGGAGGATTCTGGGGCTTAGTCCCTGTTTGTTTCTTTTTACTTTCTGATGTACCAAAAAAAAGAAAAAAAAAGAAAGATACACTTATATTTGGGATGTTTTACATAAGTGCACTTTTTTACTTTTTATGAAATATGAGTTGGGTTTGAAGTGATGTGGTAGAGAGGTGATGTGACTTAAATAAGATGATGTGGCTCAAATAGGATAGTGACTTTTTGACTTTTTAGATTTTTCAGAGTATGCCAAACCAAGCCTTAGAATAATATTATATGGATTAATTAATATACACACTAGTATACCAATTGATGATGTGATATAATTTTAAAGATTTTGAATATTTATAATTTGTATAATAGGTGGAATCAGTAATAATGACATAACATTAACTGATAAACTAGTGTGTATATTAATTGGTTCATGTAGTATCACCGATTTATTTAACAGGTTTATTTAAAGAAATATGTTATACAAACTAATAAAATTTTACAATTTTTTTCTTAATTATCTATAAGTGGATAATGTTTTATTTTTTCAACGTAGTTATTGTTTAACACATCAATTAATAAGAATTTTTTGTATAAATAATATTAATTGATCATTTTTGGTATAATGTTATACATCATTTTTCTTGTTCAAAATTAATATTGGAGGGGTTGTGAGTGGAGGTATTAATTGATTGAAAAAAAAAAAAAAAGGTTATAAGAAAATGAAAATGTTTTAATTTGATGTTTGGTAATACATAGTTTGAATAGAATATGTTTCAAACACAGAAATTATCATCCATTTAAAAATTTCATTACTTGGCAACTATGTGGTCATATTATTGTAGTATTCATTTCAAATATTAAAATTTTATTATTGCATATCATATTTATGAGTAAGAAAAAATTTTAAAATTTGTTAGTTGGTAAAGAAATATTTTTTTAGCAAAACAAACTAAGCTTAAGTGAAAATAATTATAAAAATATGAAAATTAAAGTGATCTTTTTTTTTTTGGTTACTCCGGAAAGGAAAAGTGAGATTGTACCATGGTACAACCGAAAATTTTGACTTGACTTTATTGTATAACACAACCCCCACTTATTTTACAATTTCTCCTAAAAAAGGGGAAAAAAATGCACTATCACCTCTATGATAAATGCAAAAAATTCTCATAATTATTTGGATTTCTTTTAATAAAAATAATGAAATCGAAACTAGTATGTATGGTTTGTAATAGTCATTTTTTCATCGATAAAACTAATAATAAAATTAAATGTTATGTAAATTAAAACTTTATATTTATGTTAATATCGTGAATTTAAAAAGGAAAAGGGCAAAAAAATGTTAGAAAAATATAAATTAAATTTTTTTCTCATTCTTTTTTTTTTCTTCTAAATTTATGATCCAAACACAACGTAAAAGAGTTTAATATAATTTTATTAAAATTGCGGGCTTAATGTATTTTCTCATAATTTGATGGTGGAGTAGGGATGAGCTTCATGATTTTT